TCAGTTTTGTCGACATCTGCAAAGGCAAACTTGAAAATATAGCTGTACAAATACAACAGTAATTTGTCACAGCCATGTCATATTGGGACCTTTTCAAATAATCACTTTCACTTCACAACAACAGTGGATTAGTGTTATGATCTACAAATCCTCTGAGCCTTGCTTTAAAACCATAAAATGACAATTGTGGAGAGAAGAATGAAGTTCCAAACTGCACAGAGAAGAGAGGTTCAAACCTCTAATAATGTCTAATAAGCATTTTGTGGTGAAGGACACATTGTCCTACTCCGAGAGTGCCTTTTCCTCACTGAGTCGTCGGCTTCCTGTTCCTGCAAAGCCATTAGCCATTAGCCATTAGCTGGCTTCCCTTAACCACTTATCATGTATATAAATGTAACAGACTTACTAATGTATCTTCACGAGGCTCTTACACATTAAAATGACGTCAAGACAGAAAGCAAACTGCAAATAATAGAAGTAAATAGCTAAACTAACAAATTATATAAAACGTAGAGACATATTTTTTACAAACTAATATGTGAAAAATCACTGGAAATTGAAATTTAATCAAAAAACTACACTACGACACATCTTAAAAATACTTCAACAATTGTATTATAAGGCATCGAGCTGACATTAAGTGTTTGTTCCGTAATTAACTGAGTTGTAGTGGTGGGTGAGTTCAGAGGGAAGAAGTTATTGATTTTAAACATGCGAGGATAAAAAATCTGAGAAAAAACATTTCATGGCAACCAGGTCTGGACTAACGGAGATTTCCACTTCTTAAACAAAGTGACAGACAACAGAAGGGCTGACAGACACTGCCCATAGAAAGGCAACTGTCAAAGGAGCAGTAGGCTATGCATGATTCAGTGGCAGCAAATGGTTATGATGCAGATTGCAATAAACAAAAAAAACTTTGTTTCACACTTCCACTTCCAAGTGTGTAGGAAGATCTATTGTGACAAAAAACATGAACGTCTCTCTCCTCTCTGGAGCCAGTGGTTTTGTCTGGTCTGGGCAATTTCAAGAATCAATCAGTTGATCATCACCCTGCAGTGAATCACGTCTCAATGAACTGCAAACTGCCAAACGTATATTTGCCTTACAAAGCCCTTGTTGAACCCAAATTCACTGCATGGACAATCTTCGATTTGAGCTTCACTTTTGGGAAATCTTAAAGTTGATGAAAGGATTTTATTGTTGACTTTTAGGGCCAGTTCTGGACTTTAATCTTCGTACATTTCAGCTCTTTTGACTCAGCCAAGTTCTTACTTGCTATTCCACTGTCCCAGTTGAGGACCAAGGGTGGCCGAGCCCTTTCTGCCAGGGCTCCCACTCTCTAAAGACTGGCAAAGACTGACAAACTCCTTATCGTCTTTTAAATCATTCTTACAAACACAGTTTTGTGAGTGTGCTTACCCCTGACGTCTGAATTGAACTGATTAATATGTCATTTTGCAGTCTAAATAAAAATAAATAAAAGAAAATTCAGTTTAAAAATGACTACAATCACAATCATAGTCTGCCAGCAGCTCTGCATCAGAATTAGCTCCTTTCAGGGGCAGAAACAACTATATGTTGAAGCCCCCTGATGGTCCATGGTCTGCTGACAGCACATTCAAAGAAACGTTCACATGCTTTCAAACACCATGGCTCCAACACTGGCTTATGTGTGTCACAGCTGTGGGGGTGAGTACAGGCCATTTAAGATCTGCTGGATGATTTTGTTTAGCTGTTTCTCATCGTGTCAACACAAGCACACTATGTGTAGAACCGTTGATCAGCACCGGGATGACGCCCGACTACAGTAAGTGCACAGACTAATTGCAGCTGAATGGCAGTGGATCTATGATTATTTTATAGGTTCTTCCAATCACTTAAATACATTTTCAAACAAGGCCAAGAACATACTAAAAAAGAATATCAAGAATAGGAGCATCTTCTGGGCTTTTTTAATTTGTCATACACACTGATATCAAAATCCAAGAAAAGTCCATGGCATGTCCTGTTTAAAAACAGTAAAAATGCCTTTATCATACGCCATGATAATAAAGGCATTACAATCTATTTTTACACCAGCAAGATGTGTCCTCTGATAAACTGTAAATGGAGCATTGGCTGCACAGGGACTAACACACAGAGACCATGGGCCTCAATCATTGCAACCATCCAAAAACAGCTGCCATCTGCTCATTAGACATACTCAAGCCACATAAGGAAGAAAGGGATCCTTAAACTGTTTTAGGATCTCGGCTTCTCAGTCTGCTGCTTGGTCAGTAATGCAGTGTATGTTGGAGCTGTCTGCAACATTATGTTCAAGGTCCAGAAATCAGTTTGCACACAAGACATCGCATGATGTTTTGGGGAACATTACGACTTATTTGCTTTCCCTTCGTTTATTTCCTAAGATCAATTAAACCGAGGATGAAATAAATGACATTATTTACACATCATTGATTTTATGGCTGTAATTGTAATTGTTGTTTTAAATTTAGAGATAGGTGAATGAATTTCTGCTGCAGACACAATTCCTAACCAATGGTTTGAATGGACTGTGTGTACATGAACACACACAGTGATATTAACCATTGACCACAACATATGAATCTGGTCATCAGTGAGTCAAAGTGAATTGAGCCAGATGTAATGGCAGCCCCTGAAGTCACTGTGATCTTGACCTTTGACCTCCAGGCAATCTAATAATTAATCCTTGAGTCGGAGTGAATGTTTGTACCGAGTTAGACGAAATTCCTGAGAGGTGTTTTTAAGATATAGCATTACAGAGAATGGGAGATGGAATACTTAATGCCTTTAGCCACTAATTGTTGCTGGCAGAGAGAGAATATTGATTGTGTGAGTAAAAATTAATGGTAGACAAAATGTACAGCATTAAAATACCTACAGCCTTTATAGACATGACAACATGTCAGCAGAGTTTACACACATAAAGCCCTATGAGACAAATAGTGATTTGTGAATATGGGCTGTACAAATACAATTTGATTGATTGATAACAAATATACAAAACTACATATGAATAGCACAGCAAAAAAAAGCACATCAACTGGAAAATAACATTAAGTGCGTAATAATTTATCAATGTGCAACAAATCCTATACCATGCAAATCTGTCAGAGGGAAGATTGCATCTCTGCCCCCCAGATCATTTCTTTATTTAATACATGTCAATGACTATTTCACTTTGGACTCCCATAGTCCCTCTCTCTCATTTTCTCTCTCATTTCAGATATCTCTGACCCCCGGAACTTCAGGAAAACAACTATTACCATTATTACTAATATTAAAACAATATTTAAGTAATTCAGTATTGTATGAATTGTGCCAGTTATCAATAATAATTAATAAGCCTCTGCACTGTTACTGTTTACATTTTAACTAGTCAGATCTGATACCTGATGGTGCTCAAGTGTTCCCGGTCTCTCTCGCCTCTCTCTCTCTCTCCCTCTCCCCCCCTCCCCACTATCTCTCTCTCCTCTCTCCCCTCTTTTCCACTCATCTCTCCTCTTCTCTCTTTTCTTTGCTCACCCCAACCAGTTGAGGCAGATGACCGCCCACATTGAGTCTGGTTCTGGAGGTTTCTCTCTGTTAATGAGAGAGTTTTTCTTCTCCACAGTCCCTAAAGTGCTGCTCATTGTGGGGGCTGTTGGGTTTCTCTATATTTTAATTTTAAGATCCTGACCTTCTATGTAAAGTGCCTTGAGATAATGTATATTATGATTTGGCGCTACAAAAATAAAATTGAATGTTGATGTTCATTCAAAGGGCTGGATTCAGACCATCAGCAGTAACTGTAGATCAGTTAAAAGGCTTCATTAAGAACCAGTGTTAATCTCAAATATTCAGAAGAGAAACCTTTTATGACTTGTAATCAACAGAGACTGGTGTCTTTTTTGATTGAGGGTGTCACAACTATCTACCGCTGCCTTGTTTCTAATCATGTCTCCCCCCCTAGCTTCAGCCTTTCTTTCTGGCTGCTTTCTCTGCGCTCTTGAATCGACTGCTCTAACATTCCTCCTCCGTTCTTGGATTTGTTTGTGCTACAACCCTCGAAAAAATTCCTCCACCATTAGAATGCCAGGTGTTGTGTTGACCACTGGTCAACCAATGAAATGAACGATATGATCCCTGCCTGGTTGTGGGTGTGATGGACTTCCCCTTGCTTTCTGTATGACTTTTTGGAATAAAACAACAGGGGAAGTCCATCTAATAAAGCCTTAGAGGGCGGAAGTGGACCCAGATAAGAGTAACCAAATCAGCCAAGTTTATAATGTGTTCACTTCTTGTAAAATAATCAAACAACATACACAACTGATACACAGCCTCTCCGCCACCATGTGTTAATCTTCACTTCAGGATGAAGAGCATATAACCATCTCGTTACTGGACGAAGGTTGTTTGCCTGCTATGTCACACAGCTTCTATAATCCATTGAAAAACATTCCCAAAAGCTATGAGTCGAACTGGGTGATCTCCGGACATAACGTGTTGTACAGATATTCATTATTCCCAGAGGATCAGTCTCAGTGACCCATCCCTCGACAGATAGTGGAATATACTCACAACTACTAAATTAATTACCAGCACATGTTGTTCACGGGCCACACAGGGAGAATGGAAAAATACATAATCTCGCACTTTAATTTAAACAGTTAAATAATTCAATGTTAACTCAGAACTATTCGGTTACTAAATGATGTATGACATTTTCTGGTAAGGATTACATATCCCATGATCTATCCCATTTCATTCAGCACTATTATAAGATTTAAATTCTTATAACCTGTTGTGTTTTTGTTGAAAATGAAAGAAAAGTGGTCATCACGTGTATGACACACATCTCTGTTGGAACATTAATAATAATAATTCACAGACACAAGTCATTTGCAGAGGATGCTGCACAGGCTGGGTTACTGATCCTGCCTTTATATATTTGTATAATGTATTTGCATAATGTATTTGTATAATTGATAACTTACCAACTGTGGTGAATACAGTGCAGCAGAAGAACATGGAGCCAAAGAAGTTCCATCTGTCAGGTCTCTGGAGCCATATGGACTTGAAGTCATCTTTCATCTTAGTTTCTACCTGCTCCAGAATGTACTGATCAGTGGAAGAAGCGTTATCTGAAAATAGAGATGATCACATGAAGTAGGACTTAGAGAGTGATGAGCCATGCCAAGTCTCCGTGCGCTATTTGGTTAACGGGCTGTGGCAGTACGCGCGTCATGGTCCAAATGATTCAATGCGCCACAGACTTAATCAGAACCATTACAAGTCCACTCATGTGGATAGAGAGATACAGTGGCAGCAGGTGTGGTCATTTACCGGTGAGGTTCTTCACGATGCTGACAATCTGACCCAGGAACCTATGGTACTCCTGCTGGGTGCTGGACTCGCTGCCTCCTTCTATGTACTGGAAGATGAGCGCACCCAGCGCAGCGTAGGCGACCAGAGACAGACACAGCAGCAGGTGAGGAAAAAACCTCCAGAGACGTCCAGCGCATTTTCTGGACTCGGCTTTTGCGCTTATTGCTTTCTTCGCTGCCACGGACATCTTCCTCCGCTTCCTCTCCCAGCGCAGCTCCTACAGTGTGTGTGCAGAGCGGCTGGATGCGCTCCTCAGCTCTGCGCTGTGCGTTACGCTCCAGCAGAGTGCAGAGGCAAGTGCCTGAGGCAGTGAACGCACCACATCATCCCCACACACATTACACGAACTGGGATGAGGCCTCTGGGGAGATTCTTATTGACTCAGTAGCCTGTTCCTCCACTCTCCGTCTTCCTGCGGGTCCTGAATCTCAAAATGTTCTTGAGAGTAAAAAAAAGTTTTCCTGGGTTGGCTCCCAGATGTTTTTGTGTTTTGTTTTGGGTTCTTCCCTCCCCCATCCTTCCACCAAGTTCTGCGGAGATCTGTTCCCTTGTTTTTGAGATATTTTAACTTAGATATATTGAGATATTTTAACTTACAAAGAAACAAACAATCAGATAGGGATGAAACCACAACATCGTGGCAGAGATAATGAAACTAGGCTTTGGTCAGAAGAATGAACCTCTAGGCAACACAGTGAAAATAAAACTATACATTACAAACTTAGCAGTCAGCGAGTAAATCCACACAACATTCTCTTTTTATTGGTTTGTTTGTTTTTAACTTTTGTTTACCTCTATTTATGGGAATTCTGAACATTACAATTAAACTCAATGTATTATTGTGCTTTATTCTGTCCATCCAACAACAACTGGTGGTGGGAGATCTCTGGTCATTTATTTAAACTGAGTACTGATACAACAATGTCAGAGTGCATTAATGTTTACCTCTGCAATGTAAAGTAGCAGTGAAAAGAAAGCCTCAGTGACATGGGTTGTTGCTTTCTGAGCTTGCTATTTTATCTTTTGAAGCCCCACTTGTGGCAAAAAGCAATCAAGTGGCTATAATCTCTCAAAATAAATAGTCTTGCTGGTTATAAAGCTGCAGCAGCAACAGGTGCTGCACTATGTCTATATTTAACCAACCATGTGTTAGGAAGTGGTTGTGGGTCAGAGTCAGAGAACAACTGGGGTCTTTTTCTGTGAATACCATGAGACATAAAACATTTGGGATGCCTCTCCTTTAACTTAACTGTTTGATCATCTAGTTTACTATCTGTGTCTGTGAATATCCAAATGTCTACACTGACAGTATTCTATAATTTAGATTTGGTTTGTGTTCTGACACTACATTATTAGAGTAATGATGTGATGGAGGGAGAAATTAGCACTAGCCCAAAGCACAAGAGGGAGTGATCCTATTCAACAAAAACAACAGGCAGTGGTAATTCAAGAGTCGATCTGGGCCCCAAGCAAAAATTCCCTGGTGGCCCCTCAAACAGCGATCATCAACATTATTTGAACAGTTATAAATCTGACACCAGTGAAGGGTGGAACGTGCACTGTGTTTTTAATTTGAAATGTTTCACCTACAGGAACATATTTCAGAAAAACTAAGAACACTAAAACCTTCTAATTGTCAAAATATAAATATAAAGAACAATAAAAAAGAAAATGAGCCAGTGTTCAAATTAGCAGACATAAGTTGCTACAATATAAATATATAAAACATGAAATAAAAACAATATTAATATAGTACAAAATATAACCTAAATTATAACCCACATTATAAGGCCAGTGCTTTAATTGTGAAAAGTCTATTTAGGCAGAGACAGCTAAATTGTTTTGAAATTTCAATACTGTCTGTATGACTAGCTTAATTTATTTTTCCTCTTCATGTCATTTTCACTTTCTTTTTTCACTTCTAGATGGATAACTCCTCTTTATTTTATTTGATTGAACTTTGAGAATGATACAGAAGTGTAACTGCGATGGGAAATGTCATGGGGTTACCCCATGCCCTGTAAGATATGAGGTGGCAAATACTTAATATACATCATTATTTGCAGCACATCAGTAGCATTAGCATGCCTGTATCATTCGGCAGCATGGTAGATTGTTAGTACTCACAAACCATTTCATCTTTGTAAACTGTACTGATACACAGAGTCCACAACCAGTAGTCAGAAATAACCTCAACGACACACAGTTTTATTTCACAAACATTTATTGTTATTAAATGTTTTGGGTACATGTGTTTGTGATGTTATATCCACCCTCCCTCACCTTCATTGAGGGGCCTGGTCCCACTGGCAAACAGGAAGTGGGAGATTCCAACTCCATTTATGGAGAGGGGAATCTGGAGTGTACCACATAAAAGCCAGTCCAGAGGGGTGTTTCAAATGATATCACAGAAATGCTCTTTTAGATGCCCATCTAATATAATAGTGTGATATTTCTGTGACAGGCTAGGTCGGGTGAAACAATGATGGGTGTATATATATATTTTTCAATGTCATATCTAATAGAGATTTGTTAATTGATATTTGTCTCTATGGTTTGTCTGGTAGGAGGGGCTTCCACTATAAAGGCAGTGGGTAGATGCTCCTCAAGGGGAGTTAAGCTTGGGCCTGGAGGCCGTGTGTACGAGAGCCCACGAGTCAGTGGCTTAGTAACGAGTATTTGACTTCAGTTTGAGAGAGATTTGTTTGGTATATTCTAAAAAAAATTTCAACTATGTACATTCTCACATTGTACCTGCATGGGACTGGTAACTAAAATAAATTTAAGCACCAGGTGAAGATCTCGAATCATGTCTCCTTCTTCCACCCCTCAGACTGATGGACTGGTTGAATGGTTTAACAAGACTGTAATTAGTATGCTCAAGAAATTTGTGTCAGACACAGGAAAGGACTGGGACAAGTGGCTGCCATTTTTGCTTTTTGCAGATCGTGAAGTTCCCCAGAGTTCTACTGGATTTTCGCCATTTGAGCTGATCTATGCCCATCAGGTCAGAGGCCCACTGGATGTACTCCGTGAGATGTGGGAAGAGTCCGATTCAGCAAAGACTATGAATATTATCTCTTTTGTCCTGAGGATGCGGGAGCAACTCATAAAAACAACATCCATGGCTCGTGACAATCTCCTGAAGTCCCAAGCAAAACAGAAAGAGTGGTATGACCGTTCATCGAGGAAGCGGAGCTTTGTGCCCGGTGAGCAAGTCTTGTTGCTTTTGCCAACATCGGAAAACAAATTGCTGGCTAGGTGGCAAGGCCCTTACCAGGTCAAGCGGAAGATGGGGGAGGTGACTTACCAAATCAACATGCCAGAGCGGAAACAGCCACTTCAAACATTCCATATCAATATGCTGAAGAAATGGCACCCCCGCTCTGTTCCAGAAGCATCTGCACCCCATTCTCTCTTTGTTCAAGTGGTCAAAGAAGAAGAGGACTTGGTGGAACAGTATCTACCAACAGAGGAGGAGGAGACGCAATTAGACCTGACCCATCTGTCGGATGAGAGGAGAAAGAAACTTCTGAAGATCTTGCCTCATAACCTCTTTTTGCAAACACCTGGAAGAACAGAGGTGGTACGTCATCACATCTCCTTGAAGGATCCAACTCCTTTGCGGTAACCAGTGTACAGAGTTCCTGAGTGTCTGTTACCTGTCTTAAAGAAAGAATTGGAAATGATGAGGGAGATGGGAGTGATTGAGCCTTCCATCAGTGAATGGAGCAGCCCCATAATCCTGGTTCCAAAGAAAGACACAACACTGAGATTCTGTTTGGACTTCAGGAAAATTAATACAGTGAGTAAGATGGACTTGTACCCCATGCCCAGAGTGGACGACCTGGTCGAAAGACTAGGCGGTGCTAACTTCATCAGTACCCTGGATTTATGTAAAGGGTACTGGCAGATCCCACTCACCAAGGAGAGCAAGGAGGTTGCGGCATTCCGAACTCCTTTTGGACACTTCCAGTTCATAGTCCTTCCATTCGGACTGCATGGGGCCCCTGCAACATATCAGAAGATGATGGATAGGTTGCTCGAGGGCACAGAATCCTATGCAGCTGCCTACATGGATGATGTGGTGATCTACAGTTCCAGCTGGGAGGGTCACCTGTCTCATCTGAAAGAAGTGCTGAGGAGAATTAAGGAAGCAGGCCTCACAATCCGCCCAGACAAGTGTGCACTTGCAAAGCAGGAATCCAAGTACCTGGGTTTTGTGCTAGGAAAAGGTTTGATCAGTCCCCAGGTTGGAAAAGTGGATGCCATCATGATGGCTGAGAGACCAAGAACCAAGTCGTAAGTCAGGGCATTTTTGGGCTTGGCAGGGTGGTATAGGCGTTTATGTCCCGGGTTTCTCTACCCTCTCAGTTCCTCTTACCAACCTGACAAGAAAGAACCAACCTAACAAGGTTCAGTGGACAACAGAGTGTGAAGAGTCATTTAAAGCTCTATAGGGTGCATTGTGTGAGGAACCAGTACTGAAGAGCCCTGACTTCCAACAGACATTCATTCTGCAGACTGATGCATCTGAGCTGGGCGTGGGTGCAGCCCTGTTGCAGGGGGAACCAGGTAGTCTCCAACCTGTTTTGTACATCAGCCGGAAGCTCAACAAGTATGAAGTCAGGTACTCAGTGGTGGAGAAAGAATGTCTTGCCATCAAATGGGCCTTGGACTCTCTTCGCTACTACTTGCTAGGAAGGACATTCACCCTTGAGACTGATCACCGGGCATTGTCATGGTTACAGAATATGAGAGACACTAACACCAGGATCACACGATGGTTTCTCGCCATGCAGCCCTTTGATTTTGATGTCCTTTACAGGACGGGGAAAGATAACTGCACAGCTGATTACCTTTCCAGGACATCACAAGTGTCATCTCCAGAAGGGGGGATGTCACGGGGTTACCCCATGCCCTGTAAGATATAAGGTGGCAAATACTGAATATACACCATTATTTGCAGCACATCAGTAGCATTAGCATGCCTGTATCATTCGGCAGCATGGTAACTTGTTAAGCTAGTACTCACAAACCATTTCATCTTTCTAAACTGTACTGATACACAGAGTCCACAACCAGTAGTCAGAAATAACCTCAAAGACACACAGTTTTATTTCACAAACATTTATTGTTATTAAATGTTTTGGGCACATGTGTTTGTGATGTTATATCCACCCTCCCTCACCTGCATGCCAGGGTCCTGGTCCCACTGGCAAACTGGAAGTGGGAGATTCCAATTCCATTTATGGAGAGGGGAATCTGGAGTGTACCACATACAAGCCAGTCCAGAGGGGTGTTTCAAATGATA